TCCTAATGAGACCCTCAGCATCACCTATCTCGTGAGGATAATCCCTCACACCTTGGAATACTGCCATTTCGACCTGCTGATAATAGTCAAGAGGCGTCTGACCAGGGATCATTCTACTCTGTGATAACATCTCAAAGAAGCTTTCACTAGTGCAGGTACCCCTAAATTTCATGCGAAGCTGTGCTTTAAATTCTGTCCAGGAAGTAACAAACTCAAACACCGGAGATAGTAATAAATACTGTGCATACCCCCTGGCCCTAGCTTTGGCAACACGAATGAAAGTGTCATCTGTAGGAGGTCTTACTAAAGCCTCAATTGTACTAATCCAGGCCTCTACTTCCTGATTACGAACCAGGGGCATTGATGCTGGTGTATCCCCCTTAAATATTGGCACCTCATCACGTCCCAAATAAATAGGATGAGAACTGTGATTACAATCTGCGGTCGTGGGTAACTGCCTTGCAGAGTGACAGCAGGCATGATGTGCCTGTGGTTGCGGCCTAGGACGGCATGACTCACGGGTGTCAGGCCCTCTCGAAGGCCCGCTAGCTAACTGGGGAGGTGGTGCGTTCCCCCTAGAAAGTTCGGGAGTGGATGCTCCAGAGCGAGGCTCATGCGGAGTTCTTAATTGCAGCAACTCCTCTCGTAGATGCCTATTCTGCTCTTCTAAGGTATTTATTCTGTGTAGAGCAGACTCTAATTGTGCTTGAAGAGCCCCTATTTCCACTACACCAGCACCCTGTAAAGAGGCACTGCCATCACCTGCCTGCATGGACTCCCCCTCGGGAGCCACGTGGCTTCCCTGTACGCCGTGGACCGGCATAATAGCGACACTAAGTTCGACTGGGGTATTACCGCGACTGCCTTTCTGACCGCTTTTCTGGCCTGCCCTCGTCTTAGCCATCAGCCTCTTTGCAATACGTGCAAGAGACCTTCTCTGAGAGCGGTTACAAGTATTTACTCTTCCCCGAGAATCTTCGCTCAACAGCTCAGCACAACCACAAGAAACCAAGTCATCTGATAATTTAACACCCGGCACTGTAGAGGACATACGACACTATTATACAAGAAAATACAAAACAGATTACACTTCACACTCGTACGTCACTATACACATCACTTTGCGCATCACTTTTCACTTCATTTTAATACACATCACCGAATATGACGGTGTTACCACTGAACAGTATGCACATCACCACACCATAACACCATATGCTACACGGAGGCAGGGCATCATTCACCACAATACTTCCATTCGTTGCATTAAGAAAATATGTACGCATTCACGTCACAAACTCTCACTGGTCATACATTACCATACTCTGTCGCTCGCTGTCGCTTCGGCCATAGTTCACGCAGGAACCAGGTGTAAGGCAGGGCTGATCTTCAACACCACAGTATCACAATAACACGCAGTAGACACCAGCACATCACAAGCTACGGGTACAAGGGAAAGCAGTATCCCGAAATCTCATACAATATATGCACAAATATATAAATTACAAGACCTTAGATCATGAATAAATCAGTTATATCAGTTATATACATTGAACCGGTATTATACTAGTCATCTGTCTCTGATTCCTATAAAATTAATAGTAAAAGTATACAACTAAAATTACTTCATTAAAATTACATGTAAAATTACGTAAAAAGTTTGAAAACAAAAGAAATAAAACATTTACTAAAAAAAACGCTAGAAACGAAAATATATGATAAAACGTAAAATTCTGGAAATCTAAGACTATAGACGTAAGGGGAACGTATGTGACTAGTATAACACACGAAACATTGTGAAAACCAGCCAACTATCACATACCGCCGCTCGCCACCAAAATCCTGTAAGGTAACAGTAACGCAGTACTGCTACATAAACCTGGTCACGGGACAATTCCAGGTCACTGTCCCTTGGAGACCTGATCTGCACCTCCCTTATTGCATGATTTACCTGATGCGAGCACCACCTGGCCACCCACGCATCGTACACCGGGCATGTATGTGGTAGCGGCCAAAGCGGGGTGAGCGGGGGAGTCCAGGTCACGGCACTCGCATACGAGAAAAAAAAACAAGTTGTTAATACTGGTGTATAAATCAACTAGATTTGCACTATAATTTATCTGTATTCACACATAGCTAATTATCAGTAATGCAGGAGTACTTCATATCCACAGTACTTTATACTGAACTTTTCATCACTAATTAGCCAAGGTAAATGAGGAATACCAAAGCGCTGCTTGCCTGTTTATTTTAGTCGTAGAGCCTAGCTACATGTTCACCACCCTTGCACCAGTCGCTAAAGATTCAAACATTACAGTGGTGAATTCCCGGCAAAATACATAATACTAACCCTTGACCTTTGTTAAAAATCGCAGCGGGTTCCGAGCAGTAAGGAGGCGAGAACAGATCTGCCGGTACTCTCAAAGTACCTGGGGGGTATCTACGCCCCCTAGCCAGGGTATTGGCTAAAATGCTCGACGACATGGATACCCGTGAGTGGCTGCCTTGTCACGGTTTATGACGTCACTAATGGCGACAGACCACTGGCATGACGTCACTAGCAGACGCCATCACCAACACACCTAGATTTACGTGACACTATCCTCCTGGTGAGATAGTGTCCTCACACAAATTACTGGGCAGGTGAATGGTGAACGTAGTTGCGTGTACGTAGCTAAGCCTACGTACATGCGCGTACAATATTTACGGGCGGCACCCCGCATTTCCACCTCGTAGAATAAAATTCAAATACATAAAATGACAGCGAAACTCTTCTTGGACTCCTCGTACCAAAGGGGGGGGGTACCGTGGTAGGACAAGGAGTGGGCGAATCGTCCCACTACACTTTGACCGAGAAGGTGAGCTGATGCTGACTAAACTACGACCTCGGAACTTCCACCAGGAGCCGATTAGAGTATACCGTCCTCTTACTTCTCTCTCGGGCATGCGGTGTGAGGCGGAAGATGGATAAGGCACCTGCAGCACTGTTAGAGACCCGACGTTGCATCGATGTTATAGCAAGTCGAGGTGACAAAGATTGGTGGCTTCCTGGATAAACTTGAGAGCCCGTTTTTACTACTTTATCCAGCCTGTTGAGGCTGGTGGGCGCAATAGACCAGGTCAACGAAGGATACTCTAAGTGTGGTCTAATCTTGGACTTTATAGCGTGGGAATTCCCTGAGGGTTCAGAAGGTGAAATGTACGTCAGAGAGGTGTTACTTCAGAGAGGCTGTTTTGCAGATCCTGCTGACATGTCTTGTAAATCTTAGACCATTGTCTATGTCTACACCAAGGACTGAGATAAAGTCCTCGAGATGAAGAACGATGTTATCTTGTCCATCATATAAGCATTGTCTGTGTCTTGTTAGTGGCAAATCTTACTCGCCATTGTGATCCCCAGGAATCACTCTTGCTTCCTTTCAGATGGTGCATGATAATGGCTGTGATAGCTGTACATCTGATGTCATCTGAACCTGGTGCTTTGTGTTTATGTTCTGAAGGATCTCTTTTGCTCTGGTGTGACAGATATGAAGACCAGAGAGTTCATGGCATGTTAAGGGTATCTTTGGAGGATCCTGTTAGCATCTGGCACTGTCGTTTTATGACTAAATAAGCTTCCCAGAAGCTCAGACTTTTCCCTATTACTTAGAGCAGTTGTTCCATCGGACTTGATTAGTGGAACCATAATGGATTCCCGAGTTGCCCCTTGGTGCTCCTTGACGAGTGATCACCACTCCTTGCTGCCCGCTCCCAAAGCTTGGCTTTGTACCTTTCCGCAATCTGTATTATTTTTTTGCAAGCTAGATGGTACCTGCAGCCAAACTAGATTCGATCCCCTTGTTTTGTAATATATGACCGTGAAGGGATGTATTTCTCCAGTATTTCGATGAGGAGGCAGGTGATGAAGGATGCTTTACCATATGCATCCTATTTTTGTTACTGAAATTCTGTCTTCATACCTGGCCAGTTTGCATGGTTCTAAGGCCACATTTTTCTTTGCCTGCTTTTATCTGTTGCAGGGGGGAGACGAATATGTGAGCTAAATGCACAGTGATTTGATGTTCCTATGTGGTCTAGCGATTGGCAGGATATAAGGTCCACTACAGTTAGATCCGAGAGATCTACCGAGGATGTGCGTTGGGAAATCTATGTAGTCAGTCAGCCTATGAACTGCGAGAAGCTCCTCACATGCTAAGTGAATGAAATGGTGATTCATCTATTAGGGGAAGCTGACAGATATTGCGAGCCTGAACAGCGTCTACGTTTTCCGTTAGGAAGTCCATCGGTGTCCTGCCTTGCCACTTGCGGCATGTAGTGAAAGCAAAATAACAAGGACACAAACACACAGACACACACACACATACACACATTCACACATTCACACACACACACACACACACACACACACACACATACACACACACATACACATACACACACTCACACACACACACACACACACATACACACACACACACACAAATATATATATATATATATATATATAGTAGGGAAAACATAATGCACAAACTAGATTTATTGAAAATGAGACAAACGTTTCATCAGTGCCATCAGTAGGATGGCACTGATCGAATTGTCCGCTGATGTCCACGCCTGCAGACTGTTGGAATCCTCCTTATTCAGGCTGCTGCCTAATTTTTACTTAAACAGCGCCTTTTATCCGTCCGAAAGTATCCTCGCTTCCCACATCCTCCGTCTTCCCTTTTATTCTGGCCACCCTTCGCATAGACCACCTGATCCTTCGACCTGATCTACCCTCCCTTCACTTCCTGCCCCGTGTTCATGGCGTTGCCTCGCATTTCTCTCATCCCCCCCCCCCCCAAACCCCTCCTCTATCTTTCCTCTTAAGATCTGAAGATGAAATCCGGAGGATTATATATAGGCCTATCATATTTATACATGATCTGAATTTTACATGTATCCAAAGGAAAATGAACTGTAGTATGATTTTGATTCTGTATTTTTTCACATTTTCTCAGCATGGAAACGATGGATATCAAGTCGACCAAAGTGAAGAGCATAGTGCTGCATGACGACGGCGACCACTCCGACCTGGTCAGCGGCGATGGAATTTATTCCGGCTCCTTGGAGAATAGCAATGGAATCTTCACAATGTCCACCTGGGTATTTGGCAGATATGTATATGTATACACACACACACACACACACACACATACATAAGTAATGATGGCGAGGTATTACACACTCTCCGTGGGCACTCGGTGGAAACTGATAGAGAAATTCGAAACCGGGTCAGGGATTATATTATTATTCCATCTTTCATCTGTATATCTCAGTACATCATACTTCGATTTCGAATTTCTAAATCATTATATATATATATATACATATGTGTGTGTGTGTGTGTGTATAAATACATATATATATATATATATATATATATATATATATATATATATATATATATATGTACATCTGTGTGTATAAATATGTGTATATATATGTATATATCATCATCATCATTGGGGAGCCAACGCCGGTGGGGGCGCATAGCCGCGTCCACCCTTCGCTTCCACCTGCGAGGGTCTCTCATGACGAGCCGCCAGGCAGGGGCCCGGCCCATCTCTAGTTCCTCACGACAGGTTTGATCGATCTACCCAAGCCACGACTTTCTCGGTCGTCCCACAGGCCTCCTCCACCCAGGGTTGTCTCGGACAGAGACAACCTGATGGGCAGGATCATCCTGCGGGAATCGAGGCCAAGTGGCCATATAGCCTGAGTTGGCGATCACCGAGCCAAGTGGCCATATAGCCTGAGTTGGCGATCACGGATTGTGCAAGTAACAGGTCCTGTACCGGTCTCATGGTGTAGCTGTTGGTTGGACACATGGTCCTGCCAACTGTACCCCATGATCCGGCGCAAGGATCTGTTACAAAAAGCATCGAGACGAGATTCCAAAGCACAAGATAGCGTCCAAGTTTCACTACCATATAGTAAAACTGGCAGTATCAGGGCCTTGAAAACTTGTAGCTTAGTCCTTCTGTACAGGTACCGGCATCTCCAAATACTCTTGTTTCATGACCCCTGCTGCCAGGCCAATCCGTCTACTGACTTCCTGATCTAACAGTCCAGAGTCATGAACTGCACTACCGAGGTATATAAAACTCCTTGTGACTTCCATGTTTTCACCGCAAGCACGTACCGACTGCACAGGGTCTCCTAGTAGGACCCCAGAATCCTGGATCTTGGTCTTGGTCCAGGAGACCTCTAGCCCCAGGGGCTTTGCTTCATTGCTAAATGCATCAAGAGCCGCCACTAGGGTTTCCAGAGATTCAGAAAGAATAGCAACATCATCAGCAAAGTCAAGGTCTGTAACCTTACTATTGCCCAGAGTTGCTCCACAGTGACTTTGGACAGTAGCTCTACCCAGTATCCAATCCATGCAAGTGTTGAAAAGTGTTGGTGCAAGAACACAGCCTTGCCTCACGCCTGAACTAACAGGAAAGAAGCTCGACAGGCCCCCACCACACTTTACAGCACTCTCAGTGCCTGTATACAGGTTTGCTATTAGCCCAACAATCCTTGTTGGAATTCCTCTCAGTCTCAGGATCTCCCAGAGTGATTCGCGATGCACCGTATCAAACGCCTTCTTGAGGTCGATGTAGGCTGCGAGCAGCCCACATCCGAACTCACGACGGCGCTCGACTCGAAGTGCCAGGATGCAGTCTATTGTGGACTTACCTAGGAGTGAACCCAGATTGCTCCGGTCTTTGGTGCCTCAGGAGGTGGTCTCTGATACGTCTCAGTAAGATGTGGGCGAGTACCTTGCCTGGTACACTGAGCAGTGTAATGCCTCGGTGATTGCTGCAGTCCCACCGATCCCCTTTCCCCTTACAGAGAGGGATCACCACACCCCTCAGCAGGTCAGGGGGAATGGTACCAGTCTGCCAGATGGCAGACAGGATTGCATGCAAGCCCCTTGCCATAGGTTCTCCACCAGCCTTTAACAATTCAGCTGGGATGCCACACACACCTGCTGCTTTACCACTTTTCAGTTTGGAGATCGCCCCCTTGACTTCAGTCAGGGAGGGTGGATCCTCGCTGATCGGTGGGTCTGGCAGAGGAGTCTCAACATTACTAGCATCCAAGTTAACTGGTGGTAGATCAACCTGATACAGCTGCTCAAAATACTCAGCCCAACGCACACGCACCCCATCAAGATCTGAGATTACCTGGCCACTTGCTGAGTGGACTGCTGTCGTCTGTGAGGAGGGCTTGGAGTTCAGCTTTCTCAGAGCTTGGTAGGTAGGACGAAAGTCATTTACTAGGAAATGGCTTTCGACCTCCTCTGCAAGATTACTGATAAACTTATCCCTCCTCAACAGTGACCTAGTCCTGCGCGCCAGAGAACGGTGCAAATTGCGATCCCCTGACAATCGAGCCGCACGACAAGCTTCTGTGGCTTCCAGTGTCTCCTGTGAGATGGAATTCTGTCTTGCTCTTGGGTGTACACCAATGGATTCCTGAGCTGCATCAAGCGTTTCACGCTTGAAGGAATCCCACATAACAACAGGGTCTGTCAGGCCCTCGAGTGCTGTGAGACGACCAGAGATAGCCTCAGCAAACCCCCGGGCACACTCATCCTCCCTCAGTCTGTCCAGATGAAACACCCTGGGGTGTTCATTTGGTCGACGGGGGTTCTAAAGTGGACCCGGAGAGTAGCCACAACTAATCTATGATTAGTTCCACAGAACTCGGCGCTTCGATACACCCTGCAGTTCTGGAGGATCCTCCACCGAGGATCTATATATATATATATATATATATATATATATATATATATATATATATATATATATATATATATATATAATTAGTATCATTATATCACACTCAGATTAATGGAATGAATGCGAGTACCTCATGCCCGGGGAGCAGCGAGGCAAGACGCCGGCGCCGGCATGTTCTACGTAAGTTCATTTGTTTACTAAGCCTTATTGTTTCATCTGAATATACCTTCTAAATGTCTCACAAACCGAGAAACGACTGAAAGAGGATAATCTAGAATTTTTTCTTCTTCTTCGTCTTAGGGCGACCCAGTTACTGTTGTGGAAGCAATGTTACCACCTCTGGAGATTCGGTGCCCACGGGGACGTTCTACAGATCCAGCAGTTCGGGATCCATCGAAGTGAGTTTCACAAGATCTAAATAGCCTTTGGTGTTTATATGAAAAGTGAGAAAATGCGGACCTAACCTATAGTTGTGACATGCTTTCAAACCGAATTACGGAATTCACGAATGTTGTTCATAATTCTATAAGATATTAATGTTTACAAGTCGCTCTTTGTTCTTTGCCATATATCGATTTTCATGAACAAATCTCAAGTAATGGGTGTTTCCATATTTTAATTCGGTGTTGTTGCCCAACCAATAATGTGGTATTACTCTGGATTCCAGATCACATCCATCCCTTCCAAAGGCTCACTCCCGCCATCGCCTGTGCGGGACCTGCAGGTGTCACCGCTGACGCCCAACACATACCAGCTCTCCTGGACTGCCACTGGCGACGACTTGGACAACGGTGTGGGTAAGATCCGTTGCGTTTTTTTTTTTTTTTATCTATTTTATCTATCTATTCTGCGAAGTATGTTATTGACTACTGACTTGGAAGCACTGTTCATTTAAGGGGTGGTCGCGCTAGGGCTTTATCACCAACAAATGCCTGATGACGTGCGTGGATCCTTGGACGTACACAGATTCCAAAGTGAATGGGCTGGTTTTCTTCACATGGTCAACATCGTTCAGAAAAGCTGTACTCTAAATGAAAATATGAAAATAAATGGTCATGTACATTATATTATATTCAATGCTTTTATTACCATTTTTTATTTAAGCACAAATCATAATTGTTTTCAGATTGGTTACCTTCAAACAAATTTAATTCAACTATGGATGTACCGCCATCTCTGTTTGTGACGGGAGTTTGGAAGCAATTAAAATTTTCTGCTAATCAGGGGTATCCTCGTGTCTGCTCTCTCGTTTCTTGACACATTTTAGTGAAATAATAGTCAGTGCTATTGAGAGAAGGATCATGCATCCTCGACAGCCCATGATAGGATAGTATTTTTCAGATGAACGAAGTTCACTTAAAAACATCAAACCATTAGAATCTGTTAAAAAAATACTACTGGATAATATTATCTGTAAGCCACATAGTGCCAATTGACCAATCAGTCTAATACGGGTACCAGACCACGCTAGTATTTATGGCAATAGACAGATAAATTAGCCGGGTCAACAGGTGATCTCGACCTCAACATAGTCCGTACAGACTTCAGGTGTTTTGTGTCCCTAATAAAGGTAAAAATCTATCTCATGTGGCAAAGTGAGTGGATCAGTGTAAACATTAATAACAAAAACAAGCCAAATTATAAAACTGTGAGACAGCCCACTAGAAAATTAGAGGGGAGGAGGTGTTGCTGACCCGCCTCAGGGTCAAAACAAGATTAAACCACCATACCATCCCATAAATTGATGGGGATTTCCCTCCGCAACGCCCGCATTGCATAGACCAACACACACTACCCTCCATATTAGTATCCTGTCTTAAATGCAATGCGAATTGACAGTGCTCAGAAGATTTTTTTTTCAGAATTAAAAATATATATTTCATAACCACTAACTATTATCAAATACTGAAAATATCATTGAACTAGCCAGACCACTTTGTCAAAGAACTCCTTACCCGATTTGATGACGTTTTCTATACCCTCGATTCATTTCTACGTATTCCCAGCTGCTGCTGCTAGTTTTTAGGATTTTGGTTACATCCGGACCTCAGTTTCATATGTTCATAATAAAAAGAAACTCTCTTTGATATGCAGAATATAATAAAATGACAATAGCAATAAAATTAGAGGAAAATTAGGTTTTCTCTTTGACCTAACCAATATATTTAGTAGTCTTGTTCTCTTCGCTTGATATGTCAATTTCGCCGTTCATACCCTTAGCAACCAAA